CTGAACAAGTTATGATCAGAGCTAGATTTGTGGCTGACCATTGGGTGGTGGGGGTGGAGGGGCCTTGCTGGTCTTGGTGGAGAAGACGAGCGGAGATGTGCTTCTTGTCGAGTCGCCGTCGGATAGGCCGCCAGCTGAGGAGACGTGGCATGACGTCGAGCCGCCGTACAGTGATCCATCTAAGGCAAAGGTAAGGCAAAAAATACTTAAATTTGTTGTCAGGAACAAGAGTCGATGATTTACGCCGAACCCACCAGGTCGCCGTAAAATACGCTGATAGACGACACGTGCAATGACGAGGGTTTGGATAAGGAGCAGTACGAAGAGCACCGTTGAGCCGGTCACGAAAATCGGACGCAATAGACAGACGACGTCTTCTGGCAGGGCTCGAGAAGAAGCTGAATTCTGCCATTTTCTTTTTTTAACCCAACTCACCCATGCTTTGTTGATCTTTTCTCGGTTCTGGATCGCCTTCGGCATTGTAGGCGGGCGGGTCGATTACCGTCAGTACGCCAGTGATCGTATTCCTATTCGGGCGTTTCTTCTGTAGACGAGGTTCATCTGCAGCTGGGAGTTCGATGGAACTTTCGGCGCTTGGCATTGGCTAAAATACAGTCATCACCACCATTTTAAAATGAGAATACCGTTGTCACAGTATCAGTCCGGAAATTCGGCTTCAACCTTCTCATCATGTTCGACAAGTCGGAGAGACTTTGCCGCTTTTTCCGCCCGTAACTTTTCAGCTCGGGGTCGAGCCCGTCGCATTCGACCTGAAACAGAATGTTAGCGGGCGTTAGAAACCCCACCGAGGGGCAATCCTCCACGCACACATCAATGATACAGCGCAGACGCACGCGACGCGACCCATCAAAGCGGAACACCTTCATCTTGGCCGTGAAGCCGTCGGGTTGCTGCTCCACGACGCCGTCAAGGAGTCGGTTAGCTACTTTCGGGTCTGGGCACCTGGAATTGATTTTGTAAAGCTGATTTTCTAGCAAAAAAAACCCGTGGTGGATGATAGTGAGCGGCTCGGGAGCCGGATCAATCCCTCCCATACGCTCCGCCACGCACTCGCTGACGAAATAGCCGACACCAGCCCGTCGCTCAGTAATTTCCTGAAATAATTCGAAGGTTTGAGTTAACTTTTTATTACAATTTTAACACTTACCCATTTCAGCTCGACGACTTCGCCCAGCTCTACCGCACTCACGGTTTGTCCATCCTTCAGGATCCGCATCTTGATCTTCTCGAGGGCGCGCGCTGGGGGTTCCGTTGGATCGCTAAAATGCTCTAAAAGTTTCCCACCAAAAAGCTAACTCTTTGCTGACGTCGACCACGTCTTCTGGGAGGTCAGAGCTTGACGAGGCCGCTGTCGTTGCCGCACTGAAAACATCTGATTAAAGCCCCCAAATTAGCCTAATTAAATCCAAACAAATAATTTCAGAAACAAAAACAAGTATTATCAGAAAAAAATTCAGTTGTAAAGCTGTCTCCCTTCCCGACCTATCACTCGAGTTCCAGTCGGCATTGGAGTAATCACAGGTGACATTAAACGTCTTGTCTGTGGCCGTCATCAACGACGGCGCGTCCATTTCGTTCCTCTGTACGACGACGACAAATGACCACACGTCTGGCTCCTGTGGCAGAAGATTAAGCTGGCTTACGCCGCTTACCAGCTCAAAGCCTGGACATTTTGGATTCTCCTCATCTCGATTTGGGAACGGGATTGAGAGGACGGCAAAGTCGTTCTCGCGAAACTCGTAGCGGCAGCTGGAGAAGTGGTCCTGGAACGAGATTATTCTGCAGCGACCTTCATTTTAGGCCTGAGCATAAGCCCATTTTTGTACCTTGATGAAAATAGCTCCAGTAGTCGGGCGATTGAAGGAGAGAGTGACGCTGATTTCTGTGGTTCTGCACTCGGTCCGCAATTCTGGAGTTCACAAAGCAATCCAATATTAAATAAGCTATCCCACTCGTCTTGACCGTATTCCCAACATCATCCGCGGCCACAATCTGCCGTGTCGCTTCGAGGTCGTCGAGCACGTTGATCGTGTCCGTGAACTCTTCCGAGGCCACCGTTGACATTTCGAGGTGTGCCTGGAAGATAATTTTATTGCACGCGATTAACCTGCACAAGCACAAAATAACCATTTCTCGATTTTTTTCTAAAGTTTTATTGGCGTTGTTTATTTTTCCCTGCATGAAACGCCAAAAACGCAATAAAAATGATCAAGTCTCTGAAGGGATGTGTCGTCACGAATTTTGGCATTTTTAAGGTTAGTTTTACGTAGAGCGGTTCATTTTTAGTACTTCTGACGTAAGCTGACCTCGCGATCCTGGTAACTCGTCGATTCTTCAAAATCGTGGCTCTCGATCAATTGCGGGAAAGTCGATCCGTCAATCGGACGCGGCGTTGTCGTCCGCGAGCTCAGGTTCAGCGAAAGTATCGGGAAGGACCCATGGCTCGACGGTTCCTCATTTCCCAAAATCGCCTGCGAAGTCGCCTCCACCGGACCGCGCTCATCGTCACCCGACCGCACATCCGTGGCAATCCCTGAAAATCAAAAACCAATAAAATTCGTAAATCTCTTACCCTGCTGCCCCTTTTTCGGCTTGACGCTGGGGCTGAGGATGTAGTCGCAAAGCTTGTCAAAGTAATCCACGCCCTCGACCGTGTCGAAAAGAGGCGCGTTCGTGAATCGCGAATCCGGGCTAGACCAGCATTCTTCCTGAAAACCGAATTGGATCAAAATTTCGGCTGCACTCCCTACCTTTTCGTAATCGTACGAAACCGAAGCGCACTTTTCGCCTTGATTTAGGCAGTGTTCGAGGCATTTCCTCAGCGAGGGGCTTCTCTCGACAAACGAAGAACCGTTGAGCTTTTTGTTGGCGACTTGCTCGAAGGCCGCTTCCCCGCAGATGAATTCCGCTAAACACGGGTAATGGACTGTTCGCGGGGGAGGGCTTCTATTCTATGCCTGACTAGCAATTCTTTTCAGAGCACAAATCTTTTTTCTACTGAAAAGGCATAAAAAATCTGACAATTTAAAATTTGACATTTTGGAGCAGCCGTCAAAAAAATCAAAAAATGATAATTGTATGAACTTTATTTACTGAAATACTGCAACGGCGTAAAAAGCTACATAATAATAGGTGAGGTCGCTGCCCCCGCTAACGATACAGTACCATAAACTGAGCCCCATTTCTGACCATTCTCAACTCACATTTGAGGCAGTACTTCTCAAAGTACTCCCCACCGCTAATCGGGCTCAGGTCGGTCTGCCGAATGCGGCGCGAGAAACCGGACTCGGCCGAGAGGTGGCACTCCTTTTTGGCGCTCGAGTGGACGAAGGCCCGGCACGGGAATTTCTCGCCGGAGACCAGGTTTTTCTAAAACGCATAAGAATGAGTTTTTAATGCCCACCTCACAAATTTGGCGGCACTCGTAATGGCTCTCCGCTTCCACAATCACGTCCTTCTTTGGGGATATAGAAAATTCTTCTGCTCGAATCCAATGCATTGCCGAACCGTCACGACAATCCGCTAAAGTTTTACGTTCATCATACTCAATTATCTAAACTTACTATTATGGCAATTATTCTCAAAGTAGTCAACAATGGCATCGAAGGGGGCTGCTGCGAACATTTCCGGGTGCTCATTTCTTGTCTCGCGGTTGATGATGCATTCTCCAGTCTCGTAGTAGTACATCACTAAAAATGTATTTCTTTTATAGGATTTTCGACTAACCCGATTTACAGGGGACATTTAGTCGAGAATCTGAAGCCAGGCAAAGCGAGAGGCATTCGGATAGGCCGCCAGTTTGTTGGACCTAAAGTTCATAAAAGCTTAGGATCAGCCGTTTTCTGGTCCACCTCCATTGCATAGCCGATCAAAATTTGCTGCGGAAACCGCTCAAATGCATAGGGTGAGGAGCAGAGGAATTCTTCTAATCAGAGCAATATAATTACTTTTAATCACAAAATTTACCTTCCACGCACACGTGCTGGAAGAACGAAACAGCCCCAGTGCCTTTGGCCAGCACCGAGGCGCCAAAGGGCTGCCCGTTTTCCGGATGCATGGAACATTCCTGCGCGGCCGGATCGTACTCGAATGAGGAGCAAAGTGTGCCCTAAAACTGTAATAGACACCTGGAAGCACCAAGTACCTTCGTCTGGTTCACGCAGGCCTGGGCGCATTCATTCAGCGTAGAGTCCTTGATTGTATTTGTCGGGAATTCCATAAGCTTCATCCCCTCAGAGCGCATAAAGGTTGTCGTATTCTTTCCGGTGCATAACGAGGCTAAAAACAGGATATTTCATCAGAATTCTAAGGACAAACCAGCCGCCACGAATTGCCAGCCGAGTAATAAGGCGCAGACGATAAAGTGTTTCTTCCGCATCAGGAATCACATCATCTGCTCAAAGTTGTGGATCAATGCTCTTCGTTCTTCGATGCAGGGAGAAGTACGGTACGGGCTGGTTCAACCTTGCGACGTCGCAATGAATGGGCAGCGGTCAAGAGGCGGGTGGAGGGAACCGTGCTGCGAATAGAGAGGAAGCATGCGAGATGAAGGGGTTTCGAATGCCCCCCAGCCACACGCGCATAATTATCCGCGGCCCATTGTGCGGCACTGTCGGCGATCCGCGCGTCTAGTCCCGAGATCCCCTCCCCTCCGTCGCTGTTCTTCCAAGCAATTAGGCCGCCCCAAGTCACTTTCCGCCTCCCACTCACTCACTCCCTCATCCTGCAACTCCTGGGCTGGGGACCAACATTTATTCACATAAAGTTTACGACAGCGTCAAAGAATCACAGAATAATTTACAAAGCCAGGAAACTGGCAATTTATAATTGGCAAGATGCCAAAATGAAATATTACGCCAGAAAGCGGCATGCGCAGCGTGCAAAAGCGAAAGAGTGAACGTAAGAAGAAAGAATTTAAAGGAGCCGAGTAGATTAGGCTTTAGTGGGGACGTAGGGGTTCAACAAACATTAGTCACTTAGGCATCAGGGTAGGGGTAGCGATGAGCGCGCGAACCGTAATGACCATTGTGACGACCATAGTTGTAGGTGCGATCGAGGCCACGGTTGCCGTGCTTCTTGTACGAACTCATTCCGTGCCCATGTCCATGCCCGTGTCCGTTGCGGTTTTCGTGATGAGTCGGAACTTGCAGTTGCTAGAAACAATGGTAAAAAAATGGCGGAATAAGCCTACCATAGTCTGCTCGCCGATACGGACGAGGGCTTTGTGGTTCTCCGAGTCGTTCTCGGGCGTGTGCATCACATCCCAGCACATCTCACAGTAGTATTGAAGGCAGTCCGCATCACCACAGAAGTAAGAAGCGTAGCGGCCTTCGCAGAGCGTCCCCTCGCATTCATCACAGATTTGCTCTTCCATGAGGTACGGCTTGATGTCAACCTAAGTAACAGAAGTGAGAAGCAACAGGTGAACATACGCGTTTTTGGATATCCCCGTGAGGAATCATGACATATTTGCCTCGGAGTGCAGCGATGTAGGCCTGATTGGTGGCGAACGTAATCCGGGCAGCTCCTTTCGGGTACTCCAATTCCGGATCGATGTCAATGCCGACGTACGTCACGTGGCCGTATGCCCTTTGCATTGCGCCAGCGATTTCAGCTAAAATACGAACGTACATAAAACAAATCCTAACAAACCAGCGCGCGAAGGGCGCGGGACCCCGCCGATGAACACAGTGCGAGAATGGTAAGCCGGCGCATCATCACTGTAGACGTAGTCCATGTCGGAAAGCATCCATGGGCGGACTTGCACCGGCTTGTTCGGCATCGTAGGCGAAGACACCGTGATGTAAAACCTAATAAAAGATCGAAGCCTATAAATGAAAAAAATTACTTGTTTCGCTCAGCAATGCAGTTGGCCATCAGATACTGCACGCTAATCTCCTTTTCGTAGACGATGAAAACGTATCCAGTAGTGGCACGCGATGGCAGCTGATCCTTCATCGCCGGCTGTCGAGGCCAATCAACGACGAGCTTTCCAAACGAGGAGAAGCGATTGTATATGTCGGCTAAAAACTAGTTCCAGGCAAAAATCGAAATCCTTACCATCCCGGACATCAATCGGAAGACCGCCCACGAACACTTTCCTTGAAAAAATATCACGCGGCGCTTCCATAATCGGCGACGTGGGTGTCGACGGGAGACGTTGGTTGTAAATGGTTGGCAGCGGCGGGCCAAAAAGCGTCTTGCGCGGGGAGCCGACCGATCCGTTCTTGTGCGGGCTCTGGTTCGTCGACATGTCGAGAGAAGACGTGTTGAGGCTTTTGAGCGGCGAAGAAACGTTGAAGGGCTAAATATTAAAAGGAGTAAAGGTAAAGGTTGAAAAGTCTACCTTGATGGGGCTGCCCCCGCTGGAAGCGCTGCTGTACGTGTCTTCAATGTTGGGGAAGGCGTATTCTCCGTTTGGCGTCTTCGTCACAAGGGAGACGACGTCGCGGGGGCGAAGGTCGAGCCCAGAGATGTCAAACAGCTTGTGCGGAGCGGAGTCGAGGCCCCAGCCATTCTTCGGGATGTAAGCGCACGTCTTTTCCATCAGAGGGCTCCCTAAACAAGACTTTGAAGGCGTAAAGTAAATGTTAAATAGAAATCGAAAAGAACTTTTTAAGTCTTTAGAAAAAGAAAATGATAGATAGAAATCGAAAAAGATAGAATTGTTTTTGAAAACGCAACCAGAATGATAAATAGAACGAAAAGAATTTTTGGAATGCGCAAAATTAGAAATGATGAATGCCGACGAAGAAAGCGAGCCTCTCCCTGCGCGCTATGGGACCCGGCGGGCTAATGTGTAATTTGTCAAGCTTCGGAACCCCGAAACGTTTGTAGCTTTTCATTTCGCGTAATTATAACATTTCGTGGAATTAATCCTTATTTATTGAAACCAAAAAGCCTAACACGGGCGTGTGTGATAAAAGGCACTTGACATTGAACAAATCACAAAACTATGGCATAAAAGACGGAGAGCAAACCAAGGAAATCGGAAAGCTTGGCAGACAATTCATAAATCCCTACGCGCCGTACACTCGGATGCCGATTAATAAGTGAAAAGCATTTTGACAATAATCTGGTGGGCAGTTGCGCCTTGCCAAGGCCACAGACACGGCAGGCGTGGAATGTCAAAGACGATAGAACTTTGCAGATAAATACGTTGGAAATCCCTGTTCTACACAATACCCATAGGCTAGTGAGCTAAACGTTAGGCTAAAACTAGATGGCTACCACCTCAAAAACCGCAATGTGTTGAGCAGGAGAATAATTGGGAGTAGGGATAGAGGGAGGCGGGGGGTTGACGCGGAAATCACGGGCAATGCGTCAAGCGTGTCGACGAAACGCAACTGTTTGACAGTGGACAGAATTAACTGGAAACGAGGGCTTTCGTCGAGGGCGAAGCTGTCGACAAGCCGACGGACGTAGGAGGAACATGCCTGGAAAAATAAGTGCTGCTTATGGCTTCAATTTCTAAACCCTACCTTCTCCACGCCATCTGATCGCCACATGACCTTCGTGTCGTTCAGGAACATGTTGTCGCTGAGCAGCTCGATTTGGTAGATGACATTCCCCTCCTCCACCAGCCCCTCTTGCATCACGATCCGGCATTTGAGCGTCTGATTTGCTCGTATTTTTTGATAGTTTTTGGCCCTACCTCCGGCAGCTGGCGCTCAAGGGCCCACTGCAGTTGGGCGGCAATGTCCTTGCCGAAGTCGGAGGATAGCATTCCGGCTCGTTCGAGTACCTGGAAAATTGGCTGTCACAGCTCAAGGTCAGGCTTAGGCCTACATCGTGCTCAATGTTCTTGCGCAGCAGCTCGAGGTCCGCCAGGGAGTAGCCGGCAAAGATGTAGAGGCCCGGTCGGACTTCTGGCGGCTCTTCGGGCGTGTCGCAGACAAAGACAGCATTCTCGCACATGCAGGCTCCGCGCCCTTGCAGGTAGAGGCGGTCGCCGAATTCTGAAGCGACCGTATGATGTCGTAAACCTGTGTTTTTTTCGATGGGGTATGGAACCAATGGGCGGCTAAATTCGAGGTTCAACATACCCATTTTTGTGAGCGGAGCCGGGCATTTTGAGTCCTCATGGCAGTCCAGCTTCTCACAATTCAACTGGTCGACATCCGTACATTCGCACCAAGTGGAACATCGGCCCGCCCAATCCGTATATTTCTGAAGTAATCACATTTTCGCCTAACTTTTTAATCAAAATCGACTTCAGCCAAGCTGATGAGCCAGAACTTACTCGAACGATGGCCCCGACATGCACGAAAAGGTCTTTGCCGTTGGCGTGCTTGATCGAACAGTTATCTGAAAGAAATAGATAGCATCGAATCTTCCAAAATTGGTACCCTGCGTCGCTGGAGGCGCTATCGTTACATATTCCGTAGTTTTGGGCTCGGTTGTAGGCGTAGTGGAGACCCAAGGTGGCCGTTCAGAGCTCTAAAAGTGAATTATTGCCTTAATAAATGTGATTAACCGTCAATCCGGGCCGGGGGGCAGCGGTGGTTGTCCTCTGGGCTTTTTGGCGGGGGATTGTCTTTTGGAGGCGCCTAGGACAGAGGATTTTTTTTTGATACAAAGCCAAAAACTACTCACTCTGCGTCCTTGACGGCTTCAGCACCTTCGCTTGAGCTATCAACTGTGGGCTCCGGCTCCGTTGGATGAGCTTTGGACTGAAAAAAAGTGTTGAAGAGCACAAGGTTTCATAATCTACCCGGTGTCGCTCAGCCTTTGCTCGCTCCTCCTTCTCCCGCATCGCATGCAGGAGTTCTTGGGTTCGTTGCTTCTGGCGCTCGAGCTGCTGCTCTCGGGTCGTTTCGGAGGATCGGTCTTCTTGTGCCTCCATGTTTTGACGACGTTCGGCCTAGAAAACGACTATTTTTTGTTTTAGAGATCTAAAATAACACTTTTTAGAGAATAACATTATAGTCTCAAAGAATAAAGGCATTTCGCACCTCATCCTGGCCGAAAACCCAGCCGATTCTGGTATATTCGAGTTGCGGATCGGGCCTCGTCACCAGGACATCATCATCAGCCTCGGAGGTGGGAGTCGTTTTTGGCTTCCTAAACGTTCAATTAGCTTATTTTCATGTTTTGATGAAGACATGAAAATCACTTTTTTTCAAAAAATTACAAAAACACACCGTTCCTCGACTTTCTGCTTTTTCGGAACATGCATCGTCGGCTTCACAGTGGTTGTGGTGGTTGTTGTGGTAGTAGGCCTCGTTCTTTTCGGAGCTAGAAAACAATATAAAAAAGCAGAGCTAAGAAAAATACCGGCCGTGGTTTCCGGTCTTCTTCGGGGTTCGGGTTCGCGCGGCCTTTCCGTGTACTCAACCTGAAAGTATAGAACGGTCAGATCAAGCGGCTTTTTGGGAGCTTTATTCCCCACTACATTCCTACCTGCATTTCGGGCAATTTTTCCGTACCTTTTGGTCCTGATCCGTCGCCTGCACGCGATTTGTGTCGACGTGGGCCCGCTGCGGCTTCATGTAGCCCATGATGCGCGAGTAGTCGAGCATTGCCTTTTCTGAAAATTTGTTATATTTGATTTTTCTTAATTGATAATTATTACGTTCACTAAAACAATCAGATTTATACTTTACATTCCCAACTCACCGATACAAGGATTATTCGGAATCATGGTGTTCTGCAAGCTCAAACATTCCATATCCGATATCGGGCAAAAGCATGGCGATTCAAGGAGGGAACCGCGAGATCGGAGTAGTGTTTGTCTGCAATAAAAAGGGATAACTTTCTTATAAGGGGCTACCTGCAATGATCCAATTGGTCGGTGGCACACGAGCCCTTCGAAACGGGGCACACGCTATCGACCGAGTAGCGCAGTTGGCTGAAATCTGTGTTTCTTAGATCTTTTTTAGAACTCTAGGAATATTTGATGTATTGTAAGTTGTAATAAGCTGAAATTAACAATCTATGACACCCAAAAAAACTTACTTGCAACGGGGATCCGTTCTACATTCATCGACTACTTCCTTACACGTTCGCATCTGACTCCCGGCTGATGATGAATAGAGGCATTTCGGGTAGAAGAGTGACTAGAAAAGGTTTATATTTTTTGGACTAGAAGACATTTCTAAGTATTTTCGCGCGCACAGAGCGAATTGTAAAAAGTTTATAAGGTTTTTTCGCGCGCAGAATAGCGACAAGAAAATCGCAAAGGATTTTCCAGCGAGAAGCCTTGTCAATCCGTCAAATTTCGCCCAATTTCTCCTCTAAATCTACAAAATCTACTCTAAACTATTTTAGATTTTCACAGATTTCCCCTCCCTCTTCCCTGATCGTCAGCCCCCGCCAGGGGCTAATCTTTTCGAAGACAAATGGGTCCATTTTTTCGCGAGGAGCCTCGACCTCCACCTCCTCCTTCTCCCCTTTTTCGGGGGCCCAAAAAGACATGGTGGCCCTTTGTCTGTGTCCGAATTGAATGCCGTTTCCTGGCCTCGACGAGGCACCGGCAAGAGGAGGGCACCTCGTCGCTCAAAAGCCTACCCCTCACCCCCATTTTCCACCTGAAAAATTTGGCTCTAACAAATGGGGTGCGCGCGGGGGCGGCGGGAGTGCGTAGAGTGGTTTTTGGATGGCCAAAAATTGCCTGCAGGATTTTGGTAAAAGTTGATGGGCAGCAGGGGAACCTAACAAGATCGATGCTGGGCTGTTGGCGGGGGTGTATTTCGTAACTTTGCCTAATAGGCAATCATAACAATAACCAACAATTTGGAATTTTTGGCGATTTTCATTCATTTTTACCACAAATAGAAAGTCCCGAAAATTCAAAATAGGAATTGATAATTCTTGTTAACTTTATTTACTTAAAACTAGATAAAAAGCTATCAAAATCACGTGAATTTCATTAGTGGAGCCCCACGGGGCGAGAGTCAGAGAGAAAGTTAGCCCCCCCGCTAATATCCCCGCACCAGGATTGACGGGAAGAATGATTTTTGTTTTCCAGAGCCGTGGAATTTTGCCATCCCAATTTTTATATTTTTTTGAAAGCCGTCTTCTCGTGTCTTCCTTTCTCTACCTCGAAAAACCGGTTCATAGGAGGAAAAGCAGGCGGTGACCCCCGTGGCTCGCCGAAAATTAGCAATTATACCCCCAAGGGAAAAGCCCCTTCCCCCGGTTCCCATCACCCACATAATAGGCCCGGGAATTTGAGCTAAAAATTAGCGATAGGGTCCCATGGTTTCTAATTCTGGCACAGGCTTATAGGGAGCAGCTTCTAGACAGCTTCCACCACCCGAACACCCACACGCATAAAAAGCCAAAGAACAGTGGCGGCGGGCCCGTAGAATCGGGCGCTTATGCCCACTCGGCGGACAACTCGGACGGCCACTCCCGTTTATGGGCATCCGTTTTTTGGCGGGATCGGAGAAGTGCACCCCCATCTGTAGACTGAGGCATTCAGATGGCTTTTGGCTTAAGACCGCACGTTTTGGGAATCGAACGTATACACCTAATTACGCAGAGAGAGAGAGTGGGCTAACTGTAAAGTGTTTTTACTCAACTTGGAGTTTCGATTCGGGACCAAGCGCATCTTGTGCAGAATTTTTCGCTGATTCCGAATATGTTTTCCAAATTTGCTACGGAATTTTATTTAAAAAATCATTTTTGGTAACAATTAGGCCGAAAAATGCCAAAAATTCAGACGCTGGCCCACTATTCCCTGTTTGGGGCTATGGTGCCCAGGGGCCCTGAAGTACCCTCAGACAGCACCCTACCCAGTTGGCACCATGGTGCATTGGCAAAGTACTCGCTTGCCAAGCGCAGGGCGGCGGTTCGAACCCCCGCCCTGCATCATTCTTTGCTTTTGCATAAAAATCTCATTTTTTTATCTAAAATGCTTGTTTTGAGCTGTAGGATGATTGTCGAGCCAACGCCTAGTCAATTTTGACGTTGAAATTAATGAAGAAAATCGAAAACTATAACGATATCTTCATCTTGGTGAAAACTAGGGTCATAATTGCCGTATAACTTTCAGAATACCGGTCCGTCGCAAATTTGGAAAACATATTCGGAATCAGCGAAAAATTCTGCACAAGATGCGCTTGGTCCCGAATCGAAACTCCAAGTTGAGTAAAAACACTTTACAGTAAGAGAGCGAAGCAACTGTTCAGAGGTGTATACGTACTCCCTGAACTCCCTGAACTTGAGCTCTAGGACACCGCGAGGTGAAGCTTGGGGACCTTGTGTAGCTTTCAAAATTTCGGTACTGGGCTCTTAACGGCGGGGGAGCTAACTTCTATTCTTTGAGAACCTACGCCCGGCTAAAGCCGATTTCATTGAAAAGTCTGATTTTTGGTCATTTTTCATGCTTTTTTGACCAAATCTTTATGCGGTTTTTATGTTTAAAAACAGTAGATTGCTCTAAAAAGGGTTTATATTTCGGTTAGGGCAGTACGAAATCACTACAGAAAAATCCACCCGCTAACAGACCAGTACCGAACTTGACTGGCGATTATCCACGTTCTGGTGCGTAATAAATCGTACCTCGCGCCCCTAATTTCTTTCCGAGCTTATTTGCACTGTCGTGCTCCCCGGCTCCCTAGCATAAATGCCAAAAAATGGGCGAAAGCCACCGGGTTAGCAAAAGCCGGGCGACGCCGACACCACTCTACCCGGCGACACAAAAGCCCCGAGCGGAATAGAAAATTGGCACCTGTTGTTCGAGGCATTCCTCATCGTGGGCTGCACAGTGGCAGAACATCAACGGCTCGGCCAGGGCCCGCGGCACGTAGTAGGTGAAACGGTGCAGCGCCTGGAGAAGGATCTTTTGCGTAAAAAAGACAAAATCGACGGGAGAGGATGCAGCGCGCGCAAAAAGGACAGAATAGTTTTTCGTAGCACTCGTCCTCGAGTTTTTCAAAACTTTCATTTGTTACTTTGTCCCCTTGAAAGGTACCTCCCGGAAGCCGAAAACTTCGATCGGTTCTTTCGCATTATCGGGGGGGTGACTTACTTCCTAGGAGTCCAGAAATGTTTGGTAACGTAAAAGTAATTGTTTGAATAGCGTTTTTAGTCATTATTTAAGCGGAAAACAATAAAAAACGTCAAAAAATTTTTAGCTGAAATTTTGGTCGAAAATCGGCCATTCTTGGTTCAAAAAAAAATCATTCTTTTTGTATTCTTAAGCCAATTTGTAAAACTCTTATTAGGAGTAATGAAAAACAATTTACAAAACTCCCGTTTTTATTAGAAGAATTGGATCCTTCGAAAGAAGGTTGATCCCCCGATACTGCGAAAGAACCCGATTTTCTGACGTATTCCGAAAATAGAAGTGTTCAGGAAATCAAATGCAGTATCGTCCTCGTGAATTTCCACTTAAATTTTGGCAGGATAGATTTAGGCGTAATTAAATTTCGGTATAACGTAAAAAGCCCAAAAACGCACGTCCGAACAAGCCGAGCGCTGGCATCCCCTCGCGGCGCAGCGCACGTTCAGCTCCGCCAGGTGCCACTTGCACTCCCCGTCGGCGATACAGAGGCGCTTCGCATCTTGGCACGATGACCCTGAAATTTTAAATCAAGATCATTTTTAAGTGAAAAAAAGCTATCATCTATCAGACCACAAAATTCTGCCCCAAACTCCCTCGAAAAAAATACAGTACCTTGTCCCCGGGAAACCCGTAGCAATGCCAAGGTGGCGATGTGCATAAATAGGCGCATTTAGGGGCTGGGCCCTTAGAAGCCTCAGGGGGCCCAGTTTTGGGTTAGTGGCTTAGAGAGGGGGTGTGGAGGGCTGAGCGGGGCGAATGGCCCCGGGGGGTTGGAGGGCTTACGGGGCGGGCGCCCAAGAAGGGCCTGGAACTCGACGTGTGCTCGGGTGGGCCCATCAAAAGGCGGTGAAGTTGGAGGAGGGCGGGTTGGCTGCTGCACGGCCACAGTTTGGTAGGCTTGCACGCGGGCTCGGAACTGGAATTAGGAATTGTACCACATAGTTTTTGTTGTGTGGAGAGTACAAGTAAAGAATCTAGGCTCAAAATTCTGGTTCTGGCCGATTGGCGGGGGGGAGCTAGCCAAGATCACACCTAGCAAGCTAGCTTTTTCGAGGTTGTAGTAGTTTTTGCGTACCAAAAGTGATAAAATTGTTATAAAATGAAATATTTAAAATTTGTGACCTTTTCGTGGATTTTTACCGTGAATAAAAAATTTTCGAAAATGTTACATTTTTAAAGTTTTTTGCACTTAAAACCGTCATGAAAGTTACATAAATAGAATGTATTTGCCTATTGTAAACCTAGGAAGGCGGGGCCGAAGACGTCCCTCCCCCCGCTAACAGTACAGACCCGAGATACTCACCTCCGGTGTCGTAATTCGGCCCTGTGACGTTGAGGGATTCCTGAAAACAAGGATTTCGAAATCAAGCAACTTCTTACCGTGATACATCTTGGGACCGGTACCGTATCCGCTCATCCTCGGCCTGGCCACGATTTCCCTAAAAATTATCACTCAGTAATCGCCACCTTGATAAATGTATTTAATAACAAAATTATCTTATTTATATTATTAATTCCATCATTAAATTTTATTATTTGTTATATTTACAAGATTCTTTACATTTTGCTGCCCAGCCTCCTTGACTGTCGGCTGGGGATGGGCCCATGACGACGGTCTCACCGGCTTGATAACCGGCTGCGCCAACGTGGTTGGGATTTGCTGAAAGACGTAAATTGACTTGGTTTGCTTTTAAATAGTTTTATCTAAACTTTTACTAACCGTTGTGGTCGTTGTCGTTGTGGGTCGGCTTCTGGTGGTGGTGGCCGTAGTCGTACTGGGGGTTGTGTAGCGTACAGTGGGTACTGGCGAGGTGGGCGCAGCTGGTTGATTCCACGACCAGGTGAACGATGGCTGAAATTAGCGGGTTTGAAGTGGCAAAAATAGATACTTTTGATAAGTTTGATTGTCGTTAGTTAATTTTAGTAATTTTCTTTCGTATAGTATGATCTAGCAGTAAAGATTAAACCTCCGAAAAATTTAATTCAACGAGCAATTCTTAGTCGAAATCTTTGAAAAACAAAAAGTCGTAAATCAAAAATAATGAATTTTTATAATTTTCATTTCTGGCCTACCTTTGCCCTTGGTGTAGTCGGAACTGCTCCCAATTCATCTGAGACGTCGATCTGAATCGAATCCTCGTCACTTCCGGTGATTGTTGGCCCAGATGGCGGAGGCACAGGGGCTGGAGGGCTGAAAAAAATCCATGAATTTTTTAGACAAATCTATACCTAATCGGCGGCCCCCCGGCAGCTTTTGCCCTCCCCTCGACCCCGGAGAACGCGGGAAATTCGCCGCTTTGTGAGATTTCGTCTAAATGTAAAAAATATTAGCAAGAAGAAAGTGCCTACATATGCACTTATTGTAGTTTGTATGCAGCCGGATCCAATGGCAGTCAGAATGGTTGCCGTCACAGTGGCACGAGCCGAGTCCGGTCCACGTCAATCCCTCGAACGATTGCCAGCAGGTTTCCCTGTAAAGTTGTGACCAATACAAGGCAAAAGCGGCGAGACTCACCGATGCTGCATACGACAGTTATTTTCCCCGTCAACATCGCAGTTTTCGCGAAAAAGACGCCAGAGCTGTTTGCAGGAGACGTGCCGTAGGCATACCTAAAACGGCTGCAGGGTGATATCAAGCGTCTTACCTCTCGCAATGCCTCATTGCACGTCAATTTCCGGATGACAGCTTTCGTCTCGAGATCTAAAGAAATTAGTTTTTGTGCATTTCCGGGGGGACCGAATCTTCATATAAGCGCAGGTATGAAAGCAACGTAATCGATCTTTTAGTTAAAATTTCGTTATGGAGCATTTGCAATAACGGGGGACCGCATCCCGAGTAAATTACGTAGCAAAATCATATGGCGTATTTTAATCGTGTTTTTAGCAAAGTTTCACTATATTTCAAGGCGAAACAATAAAAAAACCGGTACTATTCAAGTTAGGGGGGCAAAATTTTTTTCGATGTCATTTTTGGGCTACTTTTTCGGTTTTTCACGGCTAATCAAGCGCAATGCTCTACTTCTAAGCTAAGCTAAGCTGAAGCTCAGCTAAATCGAACTTGAACAGAGCTAAGCCGAAGCCAAAAACAGCGAAGCTAAGAAAAGCTAAGCTAAGGCGAGAGTAGTTCGCCCGCCCAGAAGCTAAGCCTAGGCTTAGGCTAAGCTAAGCCTAGACTTAGGCTAAGCTAAGCCTAGTCTAGGCTAAGCTAAGCCTGAGCCTAAACTAAGCCAATACTAAGCTAAGCGCTAAGAAAAACTAAGAAGAATGACCGAAGATGGTCCAAAAAAATTTTTGCCCCCCGAACTTGAATAGTACCAAAAAACCTTTGAAAAAATCAAAATCGGCCATTTGTGGCCTAAAACCTTTTTTTATGGGTTTTCATGACAATTTGTGATCTTTATACGCTTCGGAGTAGAAAAGAACATTTAGGAAAGGTTGTAATTTCATTGCTCATCCCTTTTCTAAGTCCTCAAAAATTATATATCACCTCCACTGAGCTGCTGCTTCCATTCCCGAATCCGATCCTGGATTGGGGACCGCGTGGTGCGCTTGGGGGTCGATGGCTGCGTCACTCCGTCAATGATGGATACCGTATGTGCATCAACTTCTAAAAAGCATCCCTAGGCCAGACCCAGAAATTACCGTAGTGGAAATATTCTTCCGGGTTGGTGATACGCCGCTCTTCACCGACATCCACCAGCCGCTTCTCGCACGGGTTGCTGTACATTGCTTGTCGGAACCATTCGCATTGTGCTTGGCTGCCTGGAATTTATTGAGTGCAAAAGTTTGCGGCCAAAAATACCCAGCGCTTCGTAGCAGATGCAGGTCTTGTGGTTGAAGTGTGCCCGGAGTTGCCGCAGCGTATGCACGCAGTCTGACGGCGACGAGCCGGTACAGCCTAAAAGTTGACCGGGCTACTGTAATCGGAAGTGTCGACTTACGGTCAACATTATATCCGCAAGAGCGCTCGAATTTGTCGAGAAATGGGCGGCAGTCGGCGGAGCGAAGGCACGAGGAACGCAAATGGAGGCAGCTGCCGTAGCATTGAGCTAAAATGGGAGGTTATGGTTTGTTATGGGGGGAGGTAAATTTTTACAATGTCCCCGTTTCAATTTCGTATATAATCCTTTTTCATCGAATTCTCGAAAAAAATCGACTTTTTGGTCAAAAATAGCCAGATTCCGAAATGTTTCAGAACTTTTAGCGCTTAAAAAGTATTAAAAACTCAAAAAATACTTTATTTGTTTGTGCTGAAAGACGCTAGCGCCGCACGCTAACGACCCAGAACCGTTATTTTTACAGTTATAGAGATCGAGGTCGTACCTAGAAATAGATTCCAAAAACCACCAAAATCAGCCTGATCCCTCTACGTTCTCCCTCTCAATCCAATTTCAGCCGTTCCGAAACGTGGCTTCCGCCTTGGCTCTTCTTCTAGTCGACAATTGGCAGTGTGCGAATTGTTTCCAAAAAGGGCCGGGATGCCAATTTTCGAGCCGACCACCCGGATCCCATCACCGCCGCTTTTATTTATTCCCCGCCCAGGTTATAGGAGGGCCCGCCAAAAAGCGAAATGCGGCTACGGATGGCTGCAATTAACGGATACGGAGGGGGGTAACGCTCGTCTGGAAATTTCCCTTTTTCCGGAAACCGTTGCCTGTCCCTATAGGGCACAGACGAGGGGCAACAAAACACAGACTTTTTGCTTGGTTATTACAGGACGGAATGCACGAAAGTCAGTACCAGTTTCACAGACGAAGTGGAGCTCGTTGTTACCTGGGTCACCCGTACTGTTATCTTGCGTGGAGCCTGCTGATTGAAAAATCCTATTTTTACCCTTTGATCCAGTTTTTCGATTAAAGTTAGCGGAAGGGTTTTTAAACGGCTTTTTTACTATTCGTAGACTTGTTGCAAAAATCTATTAGAAAGTGTAAAAATATAATTTTTCGGTAAAATAAGCTTGAATTTCGCCCAAAATTTCGAATTTTTAACGAGCTTTCAACATTTTGAAACTAGTTTTTCCACTTCGATTATAATTAGATTTTAATGAGACGATTATTCACCCACGTGGGATGGATTACCAGAAAAAATTTGGACCCCTAGAAACACTCAAGAACGTAATTTTGTTCTTTTGATCTTTCTGATGCAAGTTTTAAAATTTCGCGGTATTAAAAGATATATCTTATAGCGTTTACAACAAATTTCGCGCGCTATAAAGCAGTACGATTTTGGGAATGGGGCTTTCGGTGGGCAAATAGCAACAAAGCCCCCTCTCGACCAGCCATACGCGTGGCCTTGGGGATAGTGGGGCGGGGCGGCCTCTCAGCCACAGGTCCCCGGTTCGACCCCCCGCCGCGGCTTCCTCAAGATCCATGGGAGCATCTACTGATCCCCGTGGCTATAAGTGAAGCAATACCGTACCCGCACCGGCTCTTGCAGACCGTAACCACCGCTTGGCACACGGTTATAAACTGCTGGTGCACATTTTTGCAAAAAAATACCGCGAGCTTCAGGCCCTAGCATTTTTGGTGCTTTTCTTTTACCGGGGGGGTTAGTGGATTTTCGTTGTGTTCTTCGTTCTTAAAAAATTATATATAAAACCCGATAAAACATCGTGAAAACGCAAACTTTTTACCATTTTTGGCTTTTTTTTCATTTTGTCGTGATCTTTTGATGCTAAAAACGGCGTAAAATTCTATAGAAAACAGCCTGGATTTGGCTATCAGACTCTTCCAGTATTTTTCACGATTTTTTCAAAAATAAAAAATTATAAAATTCCAATTTTACTCACCAGGAACCCAGAAAAGGGCCAGGCATACGAAGGCGGCCAACCGGCCCTGGCCGTCGACCATCACTTGTGCCGGGGGGAGTCTCTAGCGGTCCCGATGGGCATCATACGGTAGCGCCCACCAAAGGCTCGATGCGCTCGAGCCCGCGCACCGCTGTGCTATCTGAAATACGGCAAAATTGAGGAAAAGGAGGCCAAAAATTAGAAAAAATGGTGTCTGTAAAAAAGACCCTGGCAAATGCAGTGAAAATCACGGCAAAAAAATAAAAAACGAACTAATGAAGCCTCCAAAAAGTTCCAATGGGTCCTGGCGGGGCAGCGGCGACTAACGGGAGGGTGGAGAGGCGGAAAAAAGTGGAATTGGCAGAGGGTAGCGGATAGGGGGTGGAGGACTATAAAAGGTCCTCGGGGAGTTCCGTGAGACACATGGCCACGGGGAGCAGAATCTGAGAGGAGTCGGAGGAGGAGAGCCACATCCCCCCACTCGCCATGCGAAAGCCCCGCTATCACTTGGCTGCAGAAGAGGGCCCAATTATTAATATTTCCCGCCGGATCATTTTATACGTCTTTGAAGTCGTAATAAGTAAAAAATTGCATGGAAAAGCGCCCCGGCAGCGTTTTTAGCGCTTCGGACAAGCCTAAAAATTATGCCTAACCCCTCAAAAAAACCGAATTTCCTCAAATAGGCAAGCAGATCCGACTTCGGTACTGGGCTATTAGCGGGGGAGGGGCAAATTAACGTTGTCCTATCGTCCCCGGAGTTTATACCGCTTTTAACCCCGTTTCAGCATCACAATTCCTAAAAATTATAAAAATCGTCGGAAAATCTAGATTTTCTATCAAAAATCCACAAAAATACGGAAACTTGTAAAATTTTCAAGCAACAAATTTATTTAAAATATAATAATGACACTTTTTTTGCTTGGCAGTCCGGCCCGCTAGCTGTCCACCCCCCCGCTAATAGTCCAGTACCTACCACAAAATAGGCGCATTTCCACTTTGAAATCGCGAATCCTCAAGTCGCCAGCACGTCCACGATGTTCTTGTGTTCCAAAAAAATTCAAAGCTGGCCCCCCGGAATCGCCGTAACTCGGGCAATCCCTGCCTGGCCCTAGGGCCAATTTTTCGGGCCCATCGGCCCCGGGGACTCTGGGATATCCCCTCATCTCCCCCTCGCTTTTTTGGCTGCTAAAAGGCCCCAAAAAAAGGCACGACTCGGAGGTGTGGCTGGGGGGGAGTCCCAGAGGAGGGCCGCCGTTCCGGAGTGTTGCCAGTGATGGCCTCTTCCGTAGCTCGCCTGAAAAATGCATCCCAAATCAAAGAAGACTCTCGAGGCGTTTGGGAGCCGCAGCGCCGGTGAGTCAAGTCAGGAGGTGCTTCTCACTTATCGGGGGAGGAATGGGCTTTTCGATGATCTCGTGAGGGAAAATTTATCTTGCACCGTTTTTTATCTATAAAAACATCATAAAACGCTAAAAACTGTTTTTTTTGGTCCCAAAAGGGAAACGCCTTTAACGAGAAAAATTGGTTTGGAATTTTAGGCAGTATTCCTCAGTCTCGAACTCGAAAAATCGTTTCGAAAAATCGTTTCGAAAAATGCCTCCAGCTGGCCACCACATGCAACGTTGCGCTTATGATTAAAGGAATATGGAAGCGACGGAGAAAAAGGTAGGAGAGCATGCGACGGATGGCTGAGACCCGGGCGGAATGTGTTACAACCTCAACGATAGAGGGGAAAAGCCCCCCGAGGGGCCACCGGCTCAGCTGAACCCCCGGGTCATGAACCGTCGCACTGAAACAAACAGCTGCCGCATCCCCACTTCGCTAGACTATTGAAGGGGCAAAATTTAGAAGACAACAATAATAGGCGTTGAATTGTTAACGGGGTCCCCCCAATAAAAGATACACAATTCTTATATATCCGTTTTTAAGCATGGAAAGGTTATAAAAAGTATTTGAATGTTGAAGTTTTTAATCGGTAAAAAATGTATGAAAACCGCCGAAAATCTCCGTGTTTTGTTAGTCAAAAACCACTAAAATCACCTAAAGATGATATAACAAGCTACAAATTTTGCGCGGAAGATAAGGCATGCCCCCCCCCCCCGCTAAACGCCCAGAACCCGATAAGATCGTATCCTGGAGGTTTCTGGTCGTCTGACGCTCCTAAAAATTCCTCTGCTTACGAGAAGCTACGATAAGCTAAAAAATGAGCTCTTAGCTACCAAAAACCGGGTAATGTTATTCAGAAGTGAATGAGAAAATTCAGTGTCATGTCCTGAGAACGGGCCCAAAACACCTTGTAATCAGGAAAAAGCCTAAAATTCATTCCGCCGCTAACGCATCGCAACGAAAAACCCCATGGATTCGCAAAAAAACGCTTTCCGTAAAGATGGGTTGAACCAAAAAAAGAGCGGGCAGGCGGAAACAGGATACTCTGAGGTCTCTCCGGGGGGAAAAGCCTCGCGAGGATGTGCGGGACGCCATTTGGGGCGGAACGGGCGGATGAATGGCCGATTGGCAACAATTGGCAACTATGCCCCCCGCCTAAGGAATGCTGAATGAATAATGAGCGTCAAAATAATGCGGCGCTTTTCGGAAACAAGATACTCTCGCCAAGGCGCGGGGGGGGGGGCTAAGGGGCGAGGAAAAGCTTAGGGGGGCGGGTCAAGTGTGAGCGTGTGTGTATGTGTGCGTGTGCCAGGTGCTGCTCAGCGGTGGGTTGTAATTCGAGGGGGGGCAACCAGGAGGGGCTGTCAGAGCCTCGGGAAGCGCCCTCCCTTTTAGGTTATGCATCCGAGCCATGCGTAACTTTTCGAGACAGACAAAACAAGCCCGGGGGCTCGAAACTCGGGGTGGGGGAAGAACACTAGTCCTCCTCACTGGCCACACGCTTCAATAGGCCTCAATTCCCGGGTGGGACCAAAGGCACACCAACACCCCCATCACCACCCTCACACCACAAAAGAAACGCCCCTGCAGTAGGGTCAGTCAGACCCGGGGTTCTAAATAGACTGTTAGCAGGGGGGGGGCAGCTGGGCGGCACTATCTAGGCTATACGGAGTTGGCGAGGTATAGCCTAGATAGTGAGGCGAGTCAAAACAAACTGGAAATTTTAAAATTCAATTTGTCGAAAAATGCAAGTCTTTCGCCCTTTTTTAACACTTTTTATGAACTTTATCTACTTGAAAATCGCGCTAACAGTCCAGAACCGACCATGGGCGGCCCAGAAGAATACCTACCTTTCCAAGATTAAAACTAAAATATATCTAAAAAATAAGGCACCCCCGCTCCTCACTGCGCCCAATCGAGAAGCTACAAAGAGGAGGCGCGCAGCAAAGACCCACGATGGGCCCCCAGCATCGTGGCCATAAAAAGGGCGAAAATAAAAGCGGGCCGCCTCCTCGCGCCATAAGGGCCCATGCCCGGAATCAAATTTGCCCGAGGTGGACGTAGAAGTGGTGGGGCCAAAAAATGGGTGAACAATCTAAAGCTGGCATCAAAGAAGCGACAAAACGGCACGGCGTGGTTTGGTTTCCCAAGTTTTAACTGGGTTTTTTAGATAGCGGGTCGATAAATTTCGAGGTTGTAGTTTGAAGAAATTTCCAACTCTCGTCATTAAACGGGTAACAGGCGGATATGAAAGTAATCGCCGAACCTAGACAACCCACTAGTTTTACAGAGCTTTTGAAGGTCTTGCGCTGAGGCCGTCAAGCAAACGAGGCCAACTAGCGTCCGGTCGCCCGTCTGTGTCGGCAGCCCCGTTTTGATGCCATCAACCGCATGGATGACTGACATGAACTACCCTGAAACCATAATTCGGCAATCTACGAAACGCCGGAATCTCCTCAATCTTTGGCAAACGAGCCTCCAAGCAAATTGACGCTTCCGGCGGGGCGACGGCGTTTGGATGGATGTTGGCGAAGGAGATCAGCGGCTGGCAGCCCACGAGTCTTTTTGAAAACGTCGGCAATAAAAAAAGAAATTTCATCGATTTTTTTAACTCAATAAGTCAAGTTTTATCGTGATAAATTTAATCACAGCCATTGTCCGAAGAAATACACATACAAGCTACGAAGCGCTCCAAATCCGTTCAGATTTCAGAGCGGAACCACCGTAACGCCTTGCTAGTGAAAGGATTTCTACCGCCTCCGCGTTTATTTTTCTTTCCTCTGCTATTTTTAGCCAAACAAAGGGAAATAACATTGTTTTTCAGTGGCGCCTTCGATTTGTTAAAATCACGAATGGCCAGCCCGAACATCGGCCAGGTGCATTTCCATTATCGTTTGTTTAAACGGCTTCAGAACCTGAATTATGGCGTCGTCTGCTCGAAGGCGACCAGCGGCACGCTGTTCGTCCGCTTCATCCACGGCCAGCTCATGCTTAGCCCGCAGAGCCAAAACATGTCGGCAAAAGGACCGGCGGCCAAGATCGGCGATATAGTCGCTTTCTCGTGGCAGTATGTGCTAATTTGTTAATATTGCTTTCCGCTTGCAGAAAGTATCCGGACCTTGATGCATGTGTGGGCGTCATCGATCGTTACCAAGTCGTCCCACCGGAAAAGCAGAAGAACTCGTTCAGGGCCTACCTTCGCACGACGAACGGAGCCACCGCGCAGAGCGTCGTGGTATTCATTATCAACTGTTAGCTTACTTTTTATTTAGGTCTCGTGCGAATTGCGCTATCTGCGAAAAGAAGACGGGGTTTCGACCTTCATCAACGAGTATCTCGGCAAGGTCTACGATGACAGGCGAAAGATCCACGTATGGCTCCTTTCCCTTGCGCACCAATGTTGTATTTAGAACAACGCACTGACGGAGAATGGGATCTATCAATGTCTCATCTCGCGCTTCGACGACCCTCGCCAGAAGCTGCACTATTGGATGGTGGTTCACTGTCAGTTCTTCCCCGAGACGATCCTGGTGCCATTTTCCTTTTGTTTTGTATTGGAATTTAGAAAGGGCCTTTCCCCGGATACGCGACTCGTCTCCCGAGTAGTGAGCATGCGTTCGTTTGGCCTACTACCGGATACAGCAAGCGCCCGATCCAAATCACGATGGAGACGTT